AGAATGAAAGGATTAATTGGTCTCTTGGTAATATTAGAAATGAACAAGGAAATTTTATTGAGGTAATATCATAAATTAATAATTGTACTATTTTTTTATTTTATTGTGTAATATTTTAAGATTTTATTCCACAAAGATAACGTATATATTTAAATTTCCAATATGCTAGTTTGGAAATGCTAATTTGCAAATTAGTATTAGCAGACTACAAATATATAATTGTAATAACAATAACAATTTTTGCTTAGATAAACTGATTAAAAAATTAAGAATGAACATTTTCATTTTTTATTTGTTTAAAATATAAGATAAATTATTATTTTTAGAATAAATGTTAATATGTTTTTATTGATTGATTCTAATTTTGATTTTCTACCATAAAGAAAAGACAGAAATTGTTATTTTTTCATTGTTTTTTCTCAGCTTATTCAAGTAAATTATTTCTCATTTATTGTTACTGTAGTTATGTATATGTAATATGTATGTATATATAGAGTACACTTCTGATTAACTGAGATTCTGTAAAATATGAAAAAGTAATATAGTACAACTTACTTCATGGATCTTGATCAAGTATTTTATAAAGCTTTAGAAGTTTTAAAAAAAATTTGCTCTGGTAACTTCTAATGACAATATGAATTTTATCAAAATATTAAAGAAATTTTAATTGTAATCATAGATTTATATTTGCTTTAATCAATACATTTGTATATAAAATTTAAAATGTTTTATTATATAATTTGAAAGTTATTAAGCTCAACAAATAATTTTATTTTAAAAATAGTATACTGTATATATTATTTCATGCAAATCCAGCTTATTTAGTTATTAGCAAGTATTCTGTGTTATCAGAATCTTTGATTATCTGAGGTACTCTTAATCTGTAGTAGAGAGGTTGTGGCTGACGTTTTCATCGCGGAAATGTGAACATCGGACGTTCAGTGCCACCCTCCTGTAAGCCTAGAAGTTTGATAATGGCATTTGAAACGTCAGTGGAATCGTGCTCGACGTTCCAAATGCCATTGTCAAACTTCTAGGCTTACAGGAAGGTGGCGCTGACTGTCCGACGTTCACGTTTTTGCGATGAAAACGTCTGCTGCAACCTCTCTATTATCTTGGATAATTGAATTCTGCTGTATACATGTTTCTTAAAATTTATTCACATTATATACATAACATTTATAATATTTTCATATTATCTTATTATCAAATTGTTTAGAATTATAAAATGACTATTAATAAATTGGTTGTCTTTTCTAAATAGCCAAAATTTTATTGAATTTTATCAAATTTTATATATTTTTTAAATATAATTTTAATAGATTTAACAATATGGTATTTAATTTTAAGTTTTTTAAAATACAAAACGTTTACGCAATTTAAAGAACTAAATCAATTATATTGAGTGATTAAATGAAAAGTTTAGTTGTGAAAAGTAGAGCAAATAGAGCTTTATGGTGCTGTAAGCCAGACTTGGGATCATGTAAGTTGGCCATGTCACAAGTAACATTTAAATCTTAAACATTTATTTACTAGCTACTTCATAAATAATATTTGATACTGTAAATAAATAAAAATGCTAACCATGATAATTCCAAAATTTGTTTTTTTCATAGCTGTATGAACAGATCCCATAAGCTTATCCAGTCTCCAAAAGTAAACATCATAAATATTTTGTGGGCCTTTTTTCTAAGTAAATCCAAATGTCTTAAAGTTTTTTTTTTCAGATAAATTTTTGTTTATGGCAGTTTTTTTTTCTATTAAACACAAACCTCATGGACTACTACTTATTAGAAAGTTTATAAACATAATCCTTTGTATGCACAGATGCTTGGGGATATTTACACACGGTGTTGCCTTCATTTTCAGCAAGTTTTCTGTTTTATGTAGCTCAATTATAAAAATTTACTGTTCTATATCATAAGGCATTTCCAGTTATCACAATGCTTTAAATAACAATAATGAACTAATACTTGGGAATTGTTGTGACATATGATGAATCAGTCAGGCAAACTTGGCTCATATTATTGCCAAGTCTAATTTGTGACGACACTAAAGTCTTTATTCTATTCCTTGAAAGTAAGCATTTTGTTTGATTACTTAGTGGAAATAATATATATTATTAAAAATTTTAAAGGAATAGATTTACACTTTTATATCTAAAATTAAAAATACATAATATTTTAATTTTACATAATTATATTTTAGTATTGCAAATCATAATAGAATGAATAAAAAATTTGTTTCGTATAAATATAAAATTGTCAAAAATTCTGTGATTAAATTGTATTTAATTATTTAATTTTAGATAAAAATTGATGCCTTTTTGCCAAAATTGGGTTTGAGTATTCAACAGACAAGTAGACTGTCATTAGAAAGAAGTGTTGTTGCAGTCAATTCTCGTCCAGTTCGTATTAAAGATATTGATAAGGTAAAAAAGTTGTTCTGTATATTATTAGTTATTTATTTTTGTAGAAAGTTTTAAAAATTAGCATGCATATTACTTTAGATAGAGTTAGATAGCCTAATAAATAGGAATTTAACAATTTGGAGGACCTACTACACTAAGGCCACCGAAAATCTCTATCTAAACTGAAAAGCCTATCTAAATTAAAGTCGTGGGTTAAAAGTGTCATTTATTATTATGCATATTACTGTTTATTTTATTTTTTAATTTTGTAGGATGATCATAATTAAGGCATCTTTATTCCTATGGAGAAATACAGGAACAAAAAGGCAACTAAACTTAAGTAAAAATATTTTTTGAAACACACAGAAATGAATCTGTATAAAAAATAGTTCAAAAATCACTATAAAAGGAAATTTGACACTTCAAGCAGACTGTTTGTGTTTGCAGAATTTTCTCTGACAGTGATTTTTTAAATTAATTATTTTTACAAAAAGCCAAAAGTTTAATCTCAAAATGCAATTATAAAACAAATGAACTATAAACCTAATGAACAAATGTGAAATGTGATCAATAGATTTTATTATGTTGGTGATTTATACAAAAGAGTTTCCATGTCATAATGCTGAAATTAGTGGAAGCTAAAACAGAACCCACTTAATGCATTTGATGTTCCAAACTTGTATCTGATGTATTCAGTGGCAGGATGCAGCTGATCACAATGATATTTTTTTTTTTACAAGAAATATTCTGTATTTTAAGCTGTCAAATTATAAGCANTAAGGTTGCTGTCGAGAAGAAATCACACAGGAACACTTTTAGTGGAAAAAGGTCGTTTTATTGATTAATATTTATTTAGTTAATTATTTTTGATATTTTTGTGTTTTTTATGCAGTTTAATAAAATATAAAATATACCATATTTACCCAAATGTAAGCCACACTTTTACTTTCCCAGCTCTGTTATATATAACAGAGAGAAAGTATAGCAATTGGTCAAAAATAACCTTTTCAAGATTTTTACATTTTTGGACTCTACTCTGAAACATCAAGAAATGCAAAAAAAAAAAATTTGGGGGATTTTTTCTGTATGTATTGATATTTGTGGGGGGCAAAATTTTGTTCAACCTTTTTGAAGCTTAATAACTCCCATGCTTTTTGTCAAGAGTTTCTGAAATATAGTAGGAAGGTTTATGTATTAGGGGATTGATGCTATTAAATTTTAGTGGTTAGAGGTCGAAGGGATGGGGAGATAAAGGGGGTCATGTGTATCTCGAGTAGGATTGGACTTAATGACAATTTTACTTGTTATTAGCATTTACAGTTTTTTATAAAACCTGTCCCTATCCTCAAAATTAAGCTTTTGTCATTTTATCATAATTAAAAATNTTTATTTAGTTAATTATTTTTGATATTTTTGTGTTTTTTATGCAGTTTAATAAAATATAAAATATACCATATTTACCCAAATGTAAGCCACACTTCTACTTTCCCAGCTCTGTTATATATAACAGAGAGAAAGTATGGCAATCGGTCAAAAAATAACCTTTTCAAGATTTTTACATTTTTGGATTCTGTACTTTGAAACATCAAGAAATGCAAAAAAAAAAAAAAAAGATTTGGGGGATTTTTTCTGTATGTATTGATATTTGTGGGGGCATAATTTTGTTTAATTTTTTTGAAGCTTAATAACTCCCATGCTTTTTGTCAAGAGTTTCTGAAATTTAGTAGGAAGGTTTGTGTATTAGGGGATTGATGCTATTAAATTTTAGTGGTTAAAGGTTGAGGGGGTGGGGAGATAAAGGGGGTCATGTGTACCTCCAGTAGGGTTGGACTTAATGATAATTTTACTTGTTATTAGCATTTACAATTTTTTATAAAACCTGTCCCTATCCTCAAAATTAAGCTTTTGTCATTTTATCATAATTAAAAATATATAAAGATTTTTAATAAAATATTATAACAGATAGCATCACATGCAGTTTTAAATGTTGCCAGGAAAGTTAAGTATCTTGTTGTTGGATTTTTTTTCTATGCTTTAGTATCTTGAAAAATTGTATCTTAGATTCAATATAATACATCTTAATTAGTGATTTCTGATGTTCTATATCTTATTTTTCTGCAGCTATAAGTTATGGATTCTATTGCATTATATTAATAATTTTTATTAGACCAATATTTGTAATGGAAAATATTTAAGTCACCAGCTTAGCTTAATCTCTTTAGACTATTATAGTAATATTGTAAGTACTTGGGTGAAAGTTCCAGAAAAAATTTTGCAGTGGTGTTTCAAGAAATGTTACATTTCTGATGTTTTAAATGGTACTGAGTATGATTTTGTGTGAGATGTGAACATTGAATTCAGTGTTGATTACTGTAGTTTTAGTACTAAAAACAAAAGTATAACTAAAATTGTACATATTGTATATATTGGCCAAAGCCAAAACCCAAGAATATGACTAAAACAACAGTAATGTTTACTAAGAAGACTCTAACATGAAAAATGAAGAGGTTTCTGACTTCAATACCATGGAAGACAATGATACATAACTTACTTTGCTTGCAACAAATTTGTCTTGAGTTGTCTATTTTTCAAAAAAAAAGAAAATCTGTGGATGAACATGTAGAAATTAAGGTGCATCTTTGACTCAAGTAAATACAGTAAATTGTTTAATACTAAAAATGAATTTTGTACAAATATAGAAAATTATTTAATTGTTTTTAACATTTTAGTATTTACCATATATCTGCGCAGATAAGATGGCCTTCAGATAATATGAGGTATAAACTTTTGTCAAAGTTTTATAGTTTTAGCATATATCTGTCCTATAAGATGACCCCCAAACTATCAACAGCCTATGAATTTAGTTTAGATCAGCAATCATCATCTAGATAATAATACTGTATAGCGTATACGGAATTATGTCCAATTCATAATTTTTCAAATGAACAAATTTTATTTTCTTGCATCTAGCAGCACTGCCTTTCTATTGTTGCAAACATTTGCACTGATTCGGGCATTTGGGTGATCTTGACTATTCACAAAAACATTGTATGGGCTATTCTATTTTGTGGACATACCCTACTCTCTACTATTAAATAATTACAGTTTGTTTTCTTTTTATAATTGTTTTAATTTATGTAAATTTCATCTAATTTTTTTGTATCTGTCCTATAAGACAATCCCAGATTTTGGGGGTCTTTTTTTTTATGATTCAACTATCGTCTTATCTGTGCAGATATATGGTATATATAAATGANAATCTAATTTTTTTGTATCTGTCCTATAAGACAATCCCAGATTTTGGGGGTCTTTTTTTTTATGATTCAACTATCGTCTTATCTGTGCAGATATATGGTATATATAAATGAATAAAGGTCGATTTTGAAACATTCCAATATATCATGTTATGTTGTTTGTTAATTCTGTCATAATTAGGTGTATAGACAAACACTGGGCATTTTTGACATCAACCTTTATTTAGGAATATCTTGTGGGTCTGTAGTCTATTCCATACCATGAACCTGTGAAAACCTGAGAAATTAGATAGGAGAAATGAAAAGGAAAGTAGGAATAAGACTAAAAGAACATATTGTTGGTTTGAAATATAGAAGAGTAAATGCGGTCTTTTATGAACATTGCACAATAAATAATTGCATTATTAACAAAGAAGAAGTAAGAATTTTACACAGAAAAAAATTGGTACAACAGAAAATTTAAAGAAAGTTTTGAGATTATAAAAAGCCAAAAAAATAATATCAATAAAAATTTAAGTATAAAATTTAATGGAAACTGGT